TGATGATGATGATGATGATGATGATGATGATGATGATGATGATGATGGATAGAATAAAGGCCCTGTTCTAGAATAGTGATAATTACTGACGGTTGCTGCCATATTGGCTACGGCTACGCCTACAGTATATAACATTATACAAATACATTGATAGACGGTTCAACTTCTCTTTTTGAGGGCTCGAAGCCCTTGCACCAGTGGTGAATGAATCCACCTTATCTTCACGGTATGTACGTCGTCTTTCACTGGGTTTAGCTTGAACGGAGGCCGCAAAGACCCAATATGGATCTACATTCCTGTTTATCTTCTTCCAAGCTGCACCAACCACTACTGCTTTTTGGTCTCCTCCTAGTCTCTCACTCTCAACCACATTCAACCACCAACAGTCACCTTTTTCTCCCATTTCCGCCCATCGGTGACGCGTCGTTTTGTTTGTCCGTCTTTTCGCGGCGTTTTCTGCCTGCGATTTGAGCTGCTGAAGCAACTGGACCCAAGCCCTGCGGTCGCACTTGCGGTGGGGGGCACGAGAAATCCGGTGGGGGCTGAAGCCGACAAGTGTCGAATCAAACCCCAACCAGATGCACATGGATTGAACCTCTTCAATTGGGGGGGTTTTATTAATCAACAAGTCTAGATTAATGGTCCAACTCCGAATCACTGCCTTTCAAGTAGCAAAGAATCCCATCACAACCAATGTTTCGCTGCAACATCTGAGGACACGGTGATGTATATGATGCCACCTACCAAAACCAATCAAAACTACATACAAACGGGAAACACCTGCGAGGTTCAATGACTCCTAAATTACAATGACTTCAGCTATTTATGCCCCGGAAGTGAAGCCACTGAAAGGTGAATTCCACGTGCCTCCACATAGACTTACCACCTCCGCTACCTCAGCCAGGTTTGTGGAGGTCGCGCAACGCGACTGCAAAACGCATTCAACACAGTAAAACCAACGTATCAGCACAAAGACCTAAAGTAAGACAACAAGCAAACAGGAACAAGCTAGACATAGCTGGACACAGTGCCTATAAGCAATGTCTGCGTCTGTCAATGTTCCTGATCCTTCCCAAACAACTAAACACTAGCTAGCACACCTCCTCAACTTGCGCACTCGAAAACCAATTTGTCGCATTGTGAATTTCCTAGCGTGAGTAAGAAACAGGGGACGACTACAGGAGTCCAGTCGCATCATGATGTTTCTAGTTGATTGTTTCTCCATGTTTCTCGTGCTTTATTGGTAGTCATTGATCGCGGACTCATCAGACAGTGCGCCCTGTGACCCTCACACGGCTTGTGCAGTGTGGAGCGAATATTGGTAGTCATTTAACTCCAATCCCGCATCAACCCATGACCACCGCGCCACCAGGTCCCACACATGACGCCTCGGAGCCCCCGGCCTGTCGAGACAACCGACC